TGCATCCTCTTAGTGGCTAAACTATCATAGGTCTCAAATGAGTGTTTCATTATAAAATGAATAAAAATGATGGTGTTACACAAACAATACTTAGGTGCCGTTTACCAAACGCTTACCCGGGTAAGCACTTACTTACCAAGTCACTTTACTTTACCGGATGAATATGGCAATGACTAAAAATCTTACCCGGTAAGAGCGAAGATAAGAATCGAGAGTCTTACCCGGTAAGTGAAGATGATGACTCTTACCATGGTTAGCGCTTACCGAGATATTTTGTGTAACGTTACGTGACAAATTGTTGTGTGGGTATAAAATGGTTGCGTCGTCCAACATATTTTTTACAAAACGTTCGGTCGATTATTCTCTCACAAACTCATTATTAACGTCTTTATCTTAAGTGCAATACACTCAACCAAAAGACGGAATATATAATTATGATCATTTGAACTTATTGCCTGATAAACACTTTTTACGTGTTGTAGAGTGATTAATCCACCCATTACCTTGTTTATAAAAGTAAAGGAAAATTGTATTGTAATTCAAATGTACTACAATTTCAATTTTACCTGAAAGATGGATTGTTTGTCTCGAAAGTGCTCGAGAAAAGTAGACTAGGCATGGTTGGCAGAACCACGCTAAATATCGGTGTTTGGTTACTTTTCACTAACTCTTTGCAGTAACGTAATCTATTCCCGCACTTTTATTTTGTAATTGAGGTTGATTTTCGTTTAAACTTAATCTTTGTGGTGAAAACGACCTTCTCCCCGAAGATTATGTTATCAGAGCAAGTGTTTTTTTTTTTAATCTTGAAACATTTCCGTTTTCGGAAAATGGGTAACTTTGAGTCTTACAAAATGGTACTATTCTTTGCTTTGTTCAACAAAATTCATTTTCTCTTTTCGCTTCATTTGAAACCGAAAATGTTATTATATGTTAAGAGTTAAAAATCTTGAACGGACAAGTGAAATGTGAAACAAGAAACATTGGGGATCCTTCAACCTCACATACATTGAGAGTTAAGGGAAAAAAAATGAAGAATCAGGGGGTGTTCGATAGTTGCTGAATGGTTTGGTGTAGATTGATTAAGTGGTCGGAAATTATTAAGAGACTCTCATGATATAGTGCAAAATGAATATAATTGTTTGGTAATTATTTACAACGAAATTAAGACGTTGAATGGTTAAGGGAATCACAAGATACAAAATCATTCAGATGGTTTTAAAATCCTTAAGAGACATTTTTTTTCTTATCAAACAAGATTCACATTTTAACGATTTAGAAATTGTCTCTTAATGAAACTATTAAAAGCTAAAGAAGAAAAACTTTAAAACAAAATTGGATTTAGTGGAATAATACAATAATTGCATAGTTTTTGAAAGGTAATATTACATGGAAAGGAAATGATTAAAGATTTTGACGAATCAAAACCACATGCTTAATAGATAAAGTCATTGAATTAGGTAATAGGGTTTTGTTTTCTAGATAGTAATCATGAGTTAATTAAAATATTAGTATATATCTAAAAACCTTAAAAGATATGGATTAAGATTTAAGAAAATTAAAATATGAATATAAAATTAAAAAATTAATTTCTTGAAATTCATTAAAACAGAAAATTATTCACTATTTAATAAAACTAAAAGAGTACTTTCATAATGCAGCGAGATATATTTTGATTTTAATATTTAGTTTTTATTTTGTCTCTATCGATATAATACGATTTTATATGGTTTTGAAAAAACAATAATGTTCGTATTTTTGAAATATAAATTAAAAAAAATTAAATCGATATTAATATTAAATTAATTATTTGATAGTTCCTTTTTTTTTGTAACTTCTTTAATTCAATTTTTTGTTATAATTTAATTTAGATTTAATAACAAAGTAATTTATTTTTTGTTTGATAATATATATTTAATAAAGATAATAATTAAACATTATGTTAGAACTCAACGATTATCTTGATTATATTTTAAATTTTCTATATTTAAAATGTTAGAACTCAACGATTATCTTGATTATATTTTAGATTTTCTATATTTAAAATGAATGTTTATCTGCAATTAATTACACGAATTTAAAAATTGAGTTGTAATAAATTGTACTTACGCAAAATTAATTGTAATCTTGAATTTTAAGTAATATGTATCAATAAACAGTACTTAATGTATAAAAAATAGTTTTTAAGAGTTTTTTGTCAAATGTTTTATAATATAGTATAGATAAATGGAACAATCATGAAAAGACGATTTATAATTTGAGACCTATAAATAGATAAGTATTATGTTTCATCAAAAATCTCTAACTGAAATATTTAAACTGAGCCCGCGCAATACAACAAAATTGAGTTTATAAGATACCCTCAATCTCTAAGCGTCCAAATAGACCTTTTATAGAAGTTAATTTATCAGAACAAAATATAAAGCATCTATCTATAAGTATTGTAATAAGTTTATATGACGCTTTTGGGAGTCTTAACAAGTTTTTTAAAACATTTTTAATACAAAATGTCGCATTAACAACTTTATAGGACACTTTTGAGAAAACATTCTATAAACTCATTTTTTATAGGACATTTGTTTTTATAGGACAGTTTTCCAAATAGTCCTATAAAGTTGATAATTAATTTTTGTAATGGTTTAGCCCATTTTTGTTCTTAACATATATTCTCTATTATTTCATTTATATAATGTAATCAAAAGTTTTACATGTAACAGGGCTTTCAAAAAGATTCGAACGTCCCTAGTGATCATATTTGACTTGTTGTATTTGGATGATACTTGATATTTATTTAAAAAACAGACTCGATTTGTAAGATTTACTGCAATAATGTCGTCCAAATTTCTTTTGAAGACTTATACTCGCATTTTACTAAGAATTTGTTAAGGTTAACGTTGCTTTGTGAAAAAAAAAAGTTATTACAAATAATGATATTATGTCTTGAAAACTCTAACAAAATCATATTTGAGATAATTGTTTGAATTGACTTGATTGAAAAATGAGGCTACAAATCACAAGGGTGATGTCTGATTGGTTTGAGCTTGAGCTTCAAAGGTCAAAAGTGTTCAGAGGTCTCAGGTTCAAATTCAAGGAAGAAAAAAAATCCCCTTGTGGCCATGGAGGTTCAAATGTAGTGACTCCAGGCTATCCGTAAAGTAGGTGGTCGTCCTGATATTAATCGGCTCGTATAACGATTAGATATCCAGGTTAATAAAAAAACACATGATACAACAAAAATGACCATAATGCTTACATAGGTATACCTTCAAATTATACTACTTTATTATTGAATTAAAATACTCATATTCTTGCACAATTTATGGGACCCCAAACGAATTTAATATATTTGTAATAAACCCATAGAAATGTACCCATACTCAAAGTAAACGTATTTTTAAGTGTATATAGTTTTTTCAAGGCAGCTAGAACTCATCTTGCTAGATTCCAAACTGAGTTTTCAACTTTCTTTAGTGGAAACTTGAGATCTCCTAACAAACCTTCCCAATATTAACTCAAACTTCTAAAAGATCTTTTCTACCACAAATACTCCCAAAAACGCACGGGACTTGGACCGCGTCTAAGTCACTTGCATGGGTGAGGACTCGAACAAAGGCTCACGCGACCTAGGTCGTCGGTCAGGTCGCAAAGAGTTCATTTTTGCCCGAAAACTTCATTTTCTCCGCCCATTTCAACTTCCACGGACCCCATGATGACTTGTAAGCAGCATATTTATAAAACAGACACCTTAAAGCTTGATCACGAAGGAATTGTATTGTCAATTCTTCATTACGTCAACGTGCTCACAGATAACAAGTTTAACCAAAATTCAGGAACATACAAAACATCCCGTATAGTGATAATAACGTATAGATTGACATCCCTGAACATAGAGACATGAATTGTACCACTGTTTGGTAACAATACGTTATCTTTAATTCTCTTGAATTGTCTGTTTGGCCGCCTCAATCTCCCTTCATGATTAACCAATTATATCGATGAGTTATTGTTTTTATTCTTAGATGTCTTTTAACAACCAGAAAATAATTTTTCTCAGTACATTTTGCATCTAAAAGCCATACAACCTTCATTAGGAAACAAGTTTGCCAAGAGAAACAACAATAAAGATGATAGCAGAGGTAAGCATAAGGTATCGCACCATAAACATAATGGTTTTAATCCGCTCGGGGATCGGGGTGGTGTCTTTTCAATTGTCGTTTTGTTTTGAGGTTAGTTTCTTCTTTTTATTTGCTTTATGAGGTGGCGTTTGTTTTCTAACAGGTGCTGAAGTCTGAAGTCTTATTTCACTTCTGATTTATAAAGAGGTGGTGTTGAAGTGTGAAATCTGAATCAATAAGACCGTTTGTTTTTGTAAACTGATAAATGTCAGAATTTGTTTAAATTGTTTATTTTACCCATTAAAAATTATAGTGTTAAATTTATAGATAAATTTATACAATTTCATATATTTATTCATCACCATTATGAAATTTACATCTAAATTATATAATTAACATTCATTTAAACAAAAATATGTCATTAACGGTGTTTAACATATTTACATCCTATTAAAATACATTAATTGAGAGAGGTGATGATTGATTTGATAAGGATCAATTGAGAGAAATGATCGATCAAGGTTAATCGATTGAGAAACACTGTTGTCGAGGATTCAAAGAACAATAAAAGATAAATAAGAGATTGGTTTACCTTTTATCGTATAATATAAGAGGAAAATAAGACATAAGTGCCTCAAAAGTGCTTGTTATCGGTATTATATTGAAATAAGTCAATAAGTTATTTTCATAAGCAATAAAAAAGACAAACATTTTTTTTTAATGAAAAACAAACAAAACAAAAAAAAAAAATTAATGAAAAGCAAACAAACGTGTGTTTCTAAAAAAAAAAACCTCTAAAGGAAGAATTGACTCGATTCAAAATCTCAAAAGCCCCCAAGAAATCAATTCATTTCCAAAACGAGTAAGGTGGTTTGAGTTGAATCTCGTCATTGGGACGATTATCCGACGACGTGCCGTCCACTGACGCCGGAATCCGTTGAATTCCTCACTGTTCCTGTCAATTCGTGGATGAATGGAAACGATCAGAAAACAAGCAGTGAAGCTCCGGGAGCAGGTCGCCAAACAACATGTAAGTATACTCATGATATCTTTGCTTTCAAGTAAAATACTGATTAGACTAGGATGAGCTAATATCGTGCAGATTCCTGCTAATATCGTTTACGACCATTTTGTTTTGCAAGGATCTATATGGGAATTTGATTTCTGGTTATCCATTCGCTTTCCCAAGTTCATTCCAAAAGAAGATGCATCAAACTTTGTAATCTTGAGTTTTGAATTGCTATGGTTGTTATCTCTTTATTAGGTTACTTTCGGAGGATGTAGCATGTATTTCTCTGTGCTTTAGTTAGTTCACATGGTGATGAATGCGGTTTTCCCTAATATAATTGTAGTTTAACTTCCAACGTTTTTGTCAAGGTAGTGGGAGTACAATAACACGTAGGTCACCGGAATAACAGCTGTAACTTAACATTTTTGAAATTGATTATTGACATGGAGTTGTATGCATTCCCCAAAAAAGAAACTCCATCTCAAATGGTACTAAAGCATTGATCTGAAAAATGGTTCTTTGACCAGAAAGTATTGTCTATAATTCCTCTAGTTCCAAGGCCTACGGAGTTAAGGATCGGTTTACCTCTAGTCATCGCATCTAATGCATGCACTGTTGACACAAATGTGATACTCTTAGAAGGGGAACACTTGTCATATACACATTGGTACTGCCCGAAGTTGAGCTTCAGAAAGTAAGAGAATATGTCCTCTTTCAACTTAGAGTACATTTAGACTAAAAATATGCATTTTTTTATCGAAACGTCCAAGTCTTCATATTAAATCTACAAGTATGCTGCCGATTTATATGCTATCCAACAACCAGTTTGGCTGCCTTTGGATAAGATCCAGATTGGATCAATCCAATGCTAATGTTATTGGTTGGAAAGGATTGGTGCTGGCATTTTGGGAGGAACATCTTAGTAGCCAAACTTTATAATTGCCTCAGATTTGAGGTAATCATTACAGTATAGTTTGAAGTTTGTGAATAATCATACTATTAAGGTGTATCTTTGGCAGTTTTTCCTGCATATGAAGGAGAGAGGTGAAAGATACTGGATTTTTAATATTGATACAGAAAGATCAAGAAAAGAGGGAGGGTCTATAACTTGACAACCTGATGTCATAAAGGGTCTTGGTATTTCCTGGATCATGTCAAATTAGTGAGGGTAATATCATATGATTGACCTTGATTCACAGGGTTAGTATTGTTGGAACTTGGAAGGAAGCTAGATGCGATTGTTCATGATGGTTGATGCATATATATATATATATATATATATATATAGATAGATAGATAGATAGATAGATAGATAGATAGATAGATAGATAGATAGATAGATAGATAGATAGATAGATAGATAGATAGATATTACATTAATTTAATTAGCATATGCAGATTAACATGATCCAGTTGACAGACTAACCAAGGAGTAGATTGCTAACCATTTTAGCATTTCTTTCAAATGAGTGTGGGAATTTATAAAGAAAACGAAATAGTAACAGGAGCCAAGGTTCTAATGATGGTTTCTTGAAACTCATCTTTCAAACAATTTTGTCATACAGTCTGTAGTTGGGTTTCATATCTTTCTTACTATTTAGTCCTCTGAAGAATTGGATTTTACATCTAGCGCCTTGGTGGGATTAATATTTTTGGTCATGTAATAATGCAAATTATTTGTAACCAGTATAGCTAAAACATCTTGAATAGGTTTCCAGTAGACATAATGGTGGACCACATAAGTTTATTGAACGTGGGTAGAATAAAGACGTTATTTTGCAAGATCTACAGTTCTTGCAACCAGAAATATTTGTGAATTGATACTATATACGGCATGATATGGAAGGGTAATGCATAGCTGTTAGAGAGGTCGAGATTATACTTATATTTTTAAACAAGATATGTTGAAACTATAATTCTGCATCTGGTAAATACAAGTCTTGCACCTAAGTGCAAGATGGTACTGCTTTATGTGTGTTATACTTTTGAGTATTACTTATGTTCTCACACTTATATCTGCTGCAACCGACATATGAAGCTTCTTGCTTGTTACTGTTTAATATATTACTTCCTAACCACAACCAATTATTAAAATAATAAGAACTAATTTTGGTGTCAGGTGGTTAAGCAGTTCGGTGGCGGTGCCGATGGAGGTTTAGATGATGTTGCTGATGAAGCAGAAGTCGTGCTTCATCAAAAACTTGAGAGGCTGTACATATCAACACGTGTTGCCAAGGTTGCTTCACCCTTCCATTGGAGATGCTTGTTTTTTGGAAAGAACAACTGGAATGAGTGCTAATAAGTCGAAGAGGATATATTTTCAAGCAACATGCTTTTCAACCGTAGGAACTAGTATGAAATAAACTATTTGGCTGAGCAATGTTATAATGACTCTTTCTAGGAGAGCATCAACTCTCAAGCAATTGACAGCTTGTCATTTTGTGCGATTGGCTAAACTTTGTGAGGACATGTTGGTATCATAGTTATTTATAGGATTATTGGTCAAGGCCTACGTGAAGCAACATTTCATTCTGATACTAAAATTTAGTTGTTTTCTTGTGTCCTTACAATCTGCTCTACCTTCACCTTTTCAGCAATTTCAAAGGGATATTGTTCGTGGTGTAGAAGGATATATAGTTTCTGGTTCCAAACTAGTGGAAATAGGTAAGTAGGTGATGCCTTTTTCCAGATCTTGTTTAACTCCAGGAAATGAACATGACGTAAATTCACATTAATGAATCCTACAACAGGAAATAAATTGTCAGAAGACAGCAAAAAATACGGCATTGAAAGTGGTGGCATGTTATCGAGAGCTGCAGTAAACTTTTCAAGAGCCCGTGCCCAGATGGAGAAGGAACAAGGAAATCTACTGAAGTTTTTTGGCACACAGGTTTCATATCAAGATTTCCCCTTGCTCACTGAAAACTAACAGTGTAGACCCTGTGATGGTTATTCTTGTCATTGCTACTTGTGTGTGATATCAATTGCATTTTGGACATTCACATATACCAAAATTTCCCCTCCCCTTGCTTTATTTAAATGTTTCAAGATTTGGCTTTGGTGTTCCTTAGAATTTCAGCATTGAAATACTACACAATTTTATATGATAATAATGGTTTTATTATGGGAGAACTGTTCTTGTCCTTGCCTGTAATTTAGGGGGGGAGGGGGAGCATTTCTGAATAGGTTAATGTACAAAACTCGGTTGAATGATGAAGGTGGCAAAGTTGTTTAAGGAGAGAGACTGAGGAGAACCTTAAAGTTTGGAGTTTAGGCTTAGGTTGTAAATTATTTTATTATTATTATTTTTTTTTGGGGGGGGGGGGGAAGAGGAGAGGAGGCATTAAAGAAATCTGCAATGAATTTTTACCAGGCTACAGTAATATGCAAGGTTTTATTCTTCGGATATTTGTTTATCTTTTTATCGCTTTTTGGCTTACGCCTTTTGCTATCATTTCACTTCCACCTTTAAACAGTACTGAATCATGCAGGTTGCAGAACCATTAAGAGCAATGGTAATGGGAGCTCCGCTTGTTGATGCTCGACATCTTGCTCAAGGTTATGACAGAATGCGGCAAGAGGCTGAGTCACAGGTGTTTACAAATCTTACAACTTTTGCAGTATAAGAGCACATGATTTTGCTAAATGTACTTTTTATATTTTAAAAAAGTCGGGTTTATTATGTTCTTCTGCTTCTACCAATCATTCTTATGCACAGTATGGAAATGCCTTGTGGGTTTCATTTCACCCTCTAACCTTGTTAGGCCGTTGAAGTTTCTAAAAGACAAGCAAGAGTGAGAGACGGAATGGGGAACTCAGACCACTTTATGAAACTTGAAGCCGCAGAATCAAGATTGCAGCATTCAAAATCCAACATGTTAACGTTGGGAAAGCAAGCTGCATCAGCAATGGCTGCAGTTGAAGCTGAACAGCAAAAAATGACACTTCAGAGATTAATTTCCATGGTAACTTCTCTGTTTAATGAGTCAATGTAATTCACGTTTTAAGATCTATCTTTTTGAAACTTGTTTTTTCAATAGATTGAATCAGAACGTGATTACCACCAGAGGGTTCTTCAGATTCTTGATCATCTTGAAGGAGAGGTATGCATTGTGCCATCACCTTTTGCATCTGCATATTTTTTTTCCGCAATAAATTTTGACGTTCAACGAGATGGGTGGGGGGTTATGGAATATACAGGAGAGTACATCAGCCCCTGGAGTTTTACTTTCATATATGTGAAATGAATTAGCCCTAGCATGTCTACATATACTTTTGATAACACTCATGGTCATAATTATTAGTAAATCAATTATCCTTGGTAAGCTTAATCATCTACAACCTTGACCAAGTGTCATAACGCATGATAATCACGCAAATATATTTGGTAATGTTACAAAAATATTATTTTATTTTTATGTATATTTAGATATGGGAGATGCTAACATCATCCCCTAGATGAATGATAAACTCCGAATTTCAATCAAGGTTAGGATAACCCAACGAGTGATTGAAGCTCCAAATCAGGAAAATCAATGTAAGAATGATCTTCGAGAGAGAAGAGCTGATTAATACGAACTAGAAGAAAGTTTAGCAGAAGAAAAAAGGTGTATATTATATTCATACCTTTTCCAGAGAAAAACAGGCGCTATATAATGCGTAACAACCAAAAATAACAAACTCTACCAGATGATGACATCTGTCTTTCATCAGATCTACCACAAGGTTTATTTAGGCACCTAAATGTGTTGATCTGGCCACGTCACCCAGGTTACTCGTGTCAAAGAATTCCGTCCCAGAATTCATACATGAAATAAATGTGGGTAACACTTCGGGGTATCTGCTTCAGGCTCCGAAGTTGCCCCAACCCTGTTGTGGTGCTTCCATAGGACCTTGACAACTGGCATTATGTTTATTGCACAATATTTTGACCTTTTGGTGAAGAATCGCTTCCGTCTCTTTGATGTTGCTCGACTTTTCATTCAACTATATGTCCTAAACATTTATGGAGATTCGATGCGTGAAATGCATTATGTAAGTTTCCAAGTTCCGGTGGTAAATCATATTGGTGCTTCCTTGGTGATCCACGCAAACCGGAATCGGACACGAACTTTTAGGTGCTAGCAAGAATCTTGAGATAAGCTAGCTTGTGGCGGCTAAGAAACTCATGGGGTGGCAATCACTTGTGGGAATATTAGGATGTGCTGTAGATTTAGTTAGTATATCTATATATAACCTAAACCTAATTTGCACCTACCATAATTAATTAATCCTTTATGGGATTTTATCAATGAAGGCCCATGGGTAATTAATTATTTAAATCTTTTTAAACTCCTTTAAATAATTAATCCTAATTAATTAATAACTTATAATCTAAATTAATTAGATTACTTTCAGTTAATTAATTATTAAGCTATAATTAATCCAGTTAAGTTGTACTTAATCTCTCAAGTAATAATTAAACTCCTTTAATCATTTAGCCTTCAATCATATTAAATTAAATAATAATTAAAATTTCTTTGGTTATTTAGCCATTTGAATAATTAAACTTATTTAATTATTCACTTCCAATTCTTCTAATGGCTTGTAGCGTGTGACCCGAAGAATTCCTATTACGTTGGTAATCGTTATAAACTCCTTTATAATCATAAGTGATGATTGGTATCTAGCAATACATCATCACTACTAACTAGGATTATATGTAGATCTCCGGTCTGCAATCCGTGATCATCAATGTATGTATTTAGGTGGCGTTTGGTTCACATATTGGAATATGTCGGAATTGGAATCTATCAAAGTAATTGAAATGGAATATGTAAAAAGAATTGGAATCTATTTGTTTGGTTCGCTAAATATAACTTCAAAATTATAATAAATTAGTGATAAATTACCAAAAAATTCCTTCATAATTTGTTTGTTTGGTTCATTGAATATAATGGTGGTGGTGGATGGAGGCAGTAGTGGTGTCGATGGTAGTGGTGATAACAGTGGTAGTGGTGATGATTGTGGTGACGACAGTGGTGGGGGTGAAGGCGACAGTGGTAACGGCCATGAGGGTGTCAGTGGTGACGACAGTGGTGGTGACACTGACAACCATCATGGTGGGATGGAATGGAATGGAGTAAATGTAAGTGTATAGTAGTTTTTCTTAAAAGAAGGGATGAAGGAATTGGAATTTTTTGCTAGAACCCTAGGAATTTACATTCCATCATATGTGGAATTCAAATTCCTTACCAAAACTCAAAGAATAAACCAAACGGATGATGGAATTAGGTTAATGAATTGACCATTCTAATTCCTTCAAATTCCGTTGATTCCAACGAACCAAACGACACCTTAGTCTCTTTGTGTTTGATGTCTAGTATGAACACGCAGTACGAACATGTCATACTCGTTATGCTCCAACTTAGTTTTCTGATTTCCGATTATACTGAAAGATCCACATATGCTCCTACGCGGTTGTTAGTATGATCCATCAGGGGACCAACGACATTGCTCATGTCAAACAGGATAAACAAATCCTATCTCGATACATGCTGGTCGTACCTATCTGATATATGACATACCCAACAAAAGCTCTTCCATCCAGTTACAGTGTGGTTGAATTATCTATCAAAATGTGCCCATTCACACACAATAGTCTTCATGATCTTAACTCCAAGGACTCTATATACAATGATCATATGTGAACACACTTATGACACTCATATGACATCCAATGCAGTGTCTTACGTTGTTAATCATATCCGGTACTTTAAGATCTCCATCTTTAGTACTCTCATGTGGATTCTGTATCTCTATATGAATCCCTACATAAGCTAGTATGCTAAGTGTTGCTATGACCAATACCCAAGCAACACAAGACTTACAGACATTCTAGAATAACCAGTACTTTAAGGTCTATTATTGTAAAATATCTCTCCGATAGTCATGTTCATCGGTTGACATCCATGGGATGTGAGTGGAAAATCGAACCGATCCAATCATTCATTGGATGTTAGATTTTGCGAACTGATCCAATGGATGATTGGATCAGTTCGGTTCCATCCATTGGATATTCTTATTGGATATCCATTGGATCAGATTGGATCTATACGACATCCAATGGATGATCCAATGGGATCAGATTCATTCAATGTGTTAATTAAATCTAGTTGTCCAAACAATGAAACAAAGTAATTAATCATTTCTAATATGAGATAAAACCAACATAAGTGAGTCTAAAAATTCAAAAACCAACACAAAACAAATTCCAATTTAAGCAAATTGAAACAAATTGAATGGATGATAGTCGGATGGATGACTGGATGGTAATTGGATGGTTAATTGGATGTTGGTCGGTTTCGGTCGGTTCCGGACTGTCATCCAAGAACTGAGCGATCCAAATTGGATGATGAAATTTTCAATCCGATCCGACCCAATTATGGTCGGTCGGTTCTAACTGGATAAGTCGGTTCCAATTGAATCGATTCACTTTCTGCAGACCCCAACTCTCCAATACAAATGTATAAATAAAACAATAATGGGCAATGCCTTTTGCTAATCAACTTTATGAAAGCATGTCCAGAATTAAGTACATCAAATGATTGACTTTTGGACATATACACTAACATGGTGTATATTTGTATTCATAAACCCTTCACAAGCTTAAATTCATGCTCAAGACATGACCTAGGTCTAGCAGCCGTTGACAATGCTTTTGAACAACATTGTTTTGGACAAATCTGATTAACTTGCATGAGAAGTAGTGTGCTAATCAAGAAGTGAAAGGCCCATAAACTCTGTAAATGAAGAAAATGGCTATCCAGACAAATGCCTAAAGAAGGGACGAGGGCATATCTTTCTTTTTTCTGGCTAACCTGGAACACCTGCTATATGTTTAGACATTGGCCCTTTTGGCCACGTCAAAGTTGCTCTGCTTAAAAACTTCAAAGTTTATGTTTAGTATATTCTCTTTTTATAACAGCTAATTACAAATAAGATTAAGTATAGAGAACGTTATTGCTATTTGAAATATGGAAATGAAGAAATAATATGGTTTGGGTAGGAGGTCATTCATGTACACCCGATCAGAACAATAAAATCAATGGTAATAGCAGGTTGTATTTCTCACGATCAAACGATTAACAAAGGGTTTTCTGGCTTTTGAGAGGCCAGACTCTTCACAGGACTCACGTTCAAATTATCTACAAATCAGAATGCCCTTAAAAGAAACCCCTCTCCCCTTATTTGTACTAGTGATGGCCAGACTTATCAATACCATGCATTACTTACTTGTACCCCTGATGTATTAGCCCCTTGTACTTTCTTTACCCAGCCTACTATATTAACTTGCTGGACCCAGGGTATAACAGCTATCACAGTCTTGGGCAGCCTACTATGTTATGGGCCTTTTTGACCCTTCTGTGCAGTTGACTTGTCTTGACCATTTTCAAGGTTGATGCTGTATATAATAGTTCCGGCTTTATGAGAAAAAATTGCTTCTGAGAATATTCAGTGGAAAAATGTATATCATCTCATGGAAAAATATTTTTCTTATATAACCCTCATGAACTTGTTTTGATGACAAGCTTTTACATTGGACAAATCTAGATGGTATCTGAGCGACAACCAATTGAAGCAACTCCTCCCGTTGTGGAACCCTCTGCACCCCCACCATACAAAGAAGTAAAACGTATGTTTGCTTCTCCCGTACAAAATGGTTCAGATGATGATGTGAATTACTTTCTAGGAGAGGTATGTTTATAAGTCCGTTTTACTTGCTAAACTCCTAGTTTTTGGTTTTATCGATGAAGTGTTCTACTTCTATAATGGCTGCTTAATGCGCCTTCCACTTGCAGGTGATGTTCTCATATTACGGCGAGTCTGCTGTGGAACTAAGTTTATCAGTTGGAGATTTTGTCGTCGTCAGAAAGGTTTGCAGCTCTCTTGGATTTTCTTGTTCATGGTCTCTCCCTATTTCTAGTACGCATCGTCACATGAAAATTACAACGATTGACCCTATGCATGCATTAATAAACGTTTTGCTAACAATGAAATATCTGAAATAACATCCCATCATGACAAATAAAGGTTTTCTTCAAAACTAATTCTTAAGTTCTCTAACTGAACTACTGAAGTGAATCGTGTTGAAGAATAACTGGATATAGGTAATTTTAGTTTAAAAGTTTGTAAATAGAGGAAATGTTGCAAATAATACGGGACATCATGAAAGGGAAATTGTAGCAATCTTGTTAAAATGGGGCAAATAACTAGCAGTTGGCCTGTTCTCTTGGCATGCATATGGTTGATGTGTGTATGTGTGAGAACATATACCTATACTTACACACACACATACATACATACATGTAGTCCACTTCTGATTATGAACCTTCAAACATTCTACTTTCCATCATTAAAATCAACATGGATAACCACAAGGGTGGTGCCTGATTGGTTTGAGCTTGACTCCAAAGGTCAAAAGTACCTGGAGGTCCCGGGTTCAAATTCAAGGAGGAATAAAAATCCCCTTATGGTGAAGGAGGTTCAAATGCGGTGACTCCGGGCTATCTGCAAAGCAGGTGGTCACCCTGGGATTAGTCGGCTCACATAGCGGGTTGGATATCTAGGTTAATCACAAAAAAAAAACATGGATGTTTTCTGTCTCTTGGTTTCAAAACAGTTTGTAACACGGTATCATAGTTTAACGTGATAATCATCTTGATTGTAGACTTGTTTTTTGGCAACAAATGGAATAGTATAGTTAGCTTATAGCTTATGGATTATTTTGTCATTTACATAATCGACGAAAGGCGCTTCAAGTTTAAGATCTAACATTAGGAGTTGATAAAAAATAAATGGATTGAAGAATGGAAAGTTTGATAGGTTTGCAGTGATGGCTGGGCAGAAGGGGAATGCAAAGGGAAAGCTGGTTGGTTTCCAGCTGCTTATATCCAAACAAGACAACATGTTCTTGCAACCAAAATCTTTTAACTGTAAGTTATCTTTAAATTCGTTGGTTTGTTCGAATATGGGACGAAAAGAAAAGAAAGAAATAATAATTGTAAAATTACAAAACTACCCGATCTTTTTAGTCAGATCTTTCCAAATTGGAGATGTTGCTTTTGTGTTTTTTCATGTTTAAATTTGTTGTTTGCTTGTGCTTTTGACAGGTTTGTCCAAAGAGATGCCATTCATGTTATGAAAGCAAAAAAGTGGATTACTTTTCATATTCATATTCAAATTTAAATTTGTTTCTTTTTTTTATTTTACATACATATATACACACATATATATATATATATATATATATATATATATATATATATATATGTTTATTACATTCTTTAGTAAAACACCATAATTTTTTCGAGGGAAAACGTTAGTTTTCATGTAAAGTTAAAAAGTATATTCATTTGATACAGATTGTGTAACTTCTCTCAGATTGTGTAATTGGTTGTCCTTTAATTGCTTTTGGTCTTAATCGGTCTGCAAAAAGATCATAAGAGTGATGCTTGGATAGTGTGAGCGTGGGTTCCAAAGGTCAAAAGTGTCTGGAGGTCACAGGTTTAAATCTAAGGAGAAATAAAAATCCTCTTGTGGTCACAAAGGTTCAAATGGAGTGATTCTGGGTTACCCGTAAAGTAGGCGGTCGTCTTGGATTACTTGGCTCACATAACGGGTTGGATATTTAATAAAAAAAAATGTAACTTATTTGATCAATCTCTTAAACCAATCTTTTTATTTATTTATTTATTATTATATATTTACTGGATTTTAATAACATTATTAAATAATAAATATAAACTATTTATTTAAAAGAATTAAATATTTATTTATTAAATAAATACTAACTCTAAGATGATGTTAAATTAATTTAATAAATATACTCAAACATGAAGTTATTTACTCCAATTAATTTATTAAAAGTTATTTCTAATCTTATAAAGCTCATATAAATTGTGTTAAATTCGTTAACCATCAAGTACAATTTTTTTTATTAACCTGGATATCCAACCTGCTATGTAAGTCAACTAATCACAGGACGACCACATGCTTTGCAGAAAGCCCGGAGTTACCGCATTTGAACCTTCGTGGCCAAAAGGGGATTTTTATTTCTCTTTGGATTTGAACCTGAGATCTCCTAGTACTTTGGAGCCAAGCTTAAACCAATCAAGCACATCTTTATGGTTTACAAAAAATTCTTTAAAACTTATAGAACTTGAAAATGTAAGTATTGCCGTTTTCAGTGATTTTTGTCTGTAATTCATTGTCTTTTGTTGATGGTGTTGCTAAATATTAGTTTCTTTGTTGATGATGGACGTAGGGAAGTTCAACCTCGAGTGATTGTATATCTTGAATTCATTCGTAGAGATATAAATAACATCGAGGCAAAACAGAAACCTTGAGCGGTTCCCATGTTTTTTTGTTTTGAAAGCATCATGATACTAAAAGAAAAGGTAGATTCTACATCTACACTGCTATGCTACTAGCTTGAGCAGTTAGTAAATCCCTGGTCATGGCGGCTAAAACGGAAATTATGGTTCATTTTTTCCACCATGCGAATGTATCAAAATTATGAAAGTACTTGACACTCGTATACATAACCAAACTTGACGCCATATAAATATTTACCTGATTCAGCAAGGTCGTAATTGCTTCCCAACCATCTGTTAGCTTAGTTAGTTTATGTTATTATAAAGTGGAAAATTTTCGTATTACTTGACCATATACTTAGATGCCCTTCTTACCTTTACGCATGAGCGGGCCTATGAAAGGCTCTTGTGGAGTCCCGTGCATCAACTCAACCTATTTTCGTAAATAGAATTTTTCTGGGGGCATGAAAGGTCAAACTGCTAAACAAGGGACATCAACCAAAAAATCGAAAAAGTCCTTCGAAATCAATAAAAAAAACGAAAAAAAAAAGTCTCTAAATCGACCAGAAAAACCAAAACAAATCTTTCGAAATCAACCAAAAAACTTCAAAAAATTCATCGAAATCAACCAAAAAAAACTTTAACAACCCTTCAAAATGGTGGAATTCGGTTAAAAACACATCGGACGACTTCATGGACCTTTAATCCATCTTAAATGTGCACCCTCAACAACAATCTTTGGGTCTGCCGTTGTCTTTACCTAAAACGTCACGTATATATTTTGTGTTATCAAATTTGTCAATATATGCATCAAATAAACTTTTAAACACATGCTCTTTTTGGATTTGGTCATGTCCAAAGATTGTGCCTTCTTCAATTAGACCTAATGTGCCGACAATATTACTTATTAAAACCAAATGGTGTTTGGTCTAGCAGTATGTGAGTCTTTGGCTTTTTAGGAGGTCAATGGTTCAAACTTCACCAAGGATGAGGAGGGTGTGTGAGTCAGGTTTTCATCGCCGTTTTGATTAAAATGTCTTTGGAACTGAACGATATTTTATTTGTGTATTGAACCGCATATTACTCTTTTATTTTTAATGTATGATATTTAGGTTTATGTTTGTGTCGTTTACATTTTACTAGTATTTTTATTACTTGCAAAGAACTAAACTAAAAAAACAAAAACAAAATGATTTCTTTGACTCTGACGAGGTTAACTCAGTCCCGTGGTGGAATGTGCAAAACACGTCTGTTTCTTTGAAGTCCCGGAAACAATTTCATCTACAAGCATAAAAATTCAAACACCATTTGGTTTATTATCACTATCACTAGTAATCCGACGTGCTGGGGGTGAGCATAGGTGGTTCTTGAGATATTGGAACCGGAACCGGAACCGGTTAGAGCGGTTCTTGGATTTTTGGAATTGGTTCCAGGTACCCGCTTCCTAAAATATTAAAATTTTGTTATTTAGAAATAAAAAATAAAACATTGCAAAAACACTAAATAAATAAACAATAATACAAATTATACGGAATAATGGTTACAAATATTGTTTAACGATTACAGACGATAATAGACGAATAGTAAATGTTAAAAGTTTAACGATTACATACTATAATTGTAAAGGTTCAAAGTTTAACGGTTACATACTACGAATCCAATTAAACACACAATTTGAAAAGATACGAATCATTTTATCTCAAATTCTAAATATAGAGTTCTAAGTTCTTGACCTAATTTAAATTTAGTATTAAAAAAATTAATTAATTTTTTTAATTGAGAAATACCGGGTACCCACCAGTTCCGGTTCAGGATACCCGCCAGTTCCAGGTATCCAGTCCCGGCGGGTAACGGTTCCGAAAAATTGAGAACCGAAACCATTCTCAATCGGTTCCGTATTTTAGGAACCGGAACCACTTATATCGGTTCCGATTCCGGAACCGGCAGTTCCGGTTCCGCAAATGGGTACCCTGTTCCGCTGCTCACCCGTCACGTGCATGTAAGTATTCTTCTAGAACTACTAGAAAATTACCGTAAGGTATAGCAAATTTCTTAGTTCTCTTCAAGTAACCGTCTACTCTATCAATTGCTCCCTGAAGTTCTAAACTAGGATGGATCTTAAATCTAGAAAGCTTGCAAATAACAAATGCAAGATCAAGCTTAATACAATAAGCCGCATACCTACTTATTGCATTAAGATACTCACTCTGAGCAACTACTGGTCTATAATTTTTCCTTAGTTTACAAGAAGTGTCATATGGTGTGTTGGCTTTTTTTACCTTTCAAATGCTCAATTTTGTTTAAGCATTTTCATAATATAATAAGATTGACTTAACAAATAAGCCTCACTAATCGTCTTAATTTTGATTTCAAAACAGTATCAACTTCACTCAAGTCTTTCATTTGAAAATATGAACTTAAATAACTTCTAGTTTCATGAACCCTTTCATGTTCGTACCAAACTAACATGTCATCCACATAAAGACATTTATGGACTCGATGTTATTTTGTGAACTTAGAATACATCCATCTGTATGTCGACTTTATGTATAAAACCATTTGATAAGATGGCTTAATCAAACTTCTCATGCCCTTTGTTTTTAAACCATTCGATGTATATGTAAAGTATACACCGAGGCTAAAGCTAAAAGTACTCTGATGGATGCATTTCTAAGTATGGGGCATAGGTGTCAAAACAGTATATTCATTCTCGTTCACTAAAACCTTGTTTTATAAGTCTAGCCTTGAAATTTTAAACGGATTCATCAGTATTATGTTTTATCCTAAATACCCGTTTACATCTTACAGACTCTATATCATCGTTCATTGTCTTTTTCAAGAAGGTAAAATTTCTAGAAGTCATTACTTCTTGAAATGATTTTGGATCATCTTCGATATTGAATAATATAGGTATCTCACTAGTAACTGTTGAAAAACCTTGGTATATAGGTGTTGTACAAATCTAGATATATTAGGTACAAGTGACCACCGCTTGGAGGCCAAAAAGGAGCTCGAGCCACCTTTGGGACGCCCCCTAAGCCGCACCAGCCCATGTCGTGTCATAGATGGATTAAACGAAGAAGCCATGATATCGCGTGGTGTTTCAAGTGGCATTGGTCACACCACCTTTAGTTGCTCGTGCCTTCATTGTCCTTTGCTCTGTCTCTCATACAAACCAACAAGGGCGACCTGCGAGGCACCCTAGGCCACATCGTAAGTCGCCCAACCCCTTGTCCTTGTATATAAGACCTCAGCCTTTGGTTGTTTTCAGTAGGCATACACACGATATATTTCCTTTACTTTGTGTTAGGTTAGATGTTGTTTGTTTACCTCTTAATAGTTCCATTAAAAGACAACTTCTGAATCGCTAAGAGATGAATCTTGTTTGACAGAAAAAAGTCTGTCGTTTAATGATTTTAAAATCCTCTGAATGATTTTGCATCATGGGCCTCCCTTAACCATTCAGTGCCCTAATTTCATTGTAAACAATTACCAAACAATTATATTTAAATTTAAAATATATCATAAGAGCTTTTTAATCATTTTGATCACTTAATCATTCTGATCACTTAATCATTCTGCACCAAACCATTCTGCACCTACCAAACAGCCCCTTAGTTTCTATATTTTTTTTGGAAAAGGGGACGAAACTCCCCGAAAAACTTTATTTAATTTCCATATTTGGTAACTTTATTTTGAGAAAAATTAGGTAGCTGATTCGTTGATCCAAGGATCTTGTAAACACACTATAATCTCTTTCAGCTAGTAATATATCAATTTTCCTCTCTCTGTGGACGTACATTATCACCCCGACCACGTTAAATCTTGATGTCTCGATTTTACGTGTCGCTTTGTGATTTAATCGTATAAGCTTATGAATGCTATTTTACATTTGAGGATCGGTATATTTTATTGGACCACAATATACAATATTCAGATTTCATTAATCCGTATTTTTGTATCGGATCAGTTTGCTTTGTGATTTATTGATATATGTTTGAGACCGTAAATCACATTGTTGTTATACAATATTGAAACTATGAGCGAACCCATAGTAACAATCTCTTTATTTCCTTCCATACAATTGAGAATCAATAAAACTATTCCTAGTCCTTTCACTTCTTTTAGGTTATTTTAGAAGTATCAGTTAAGGTAATACTATTGTTAATTGATAAGCAGGGGAATGAACCCCGATCTGTCGAGGAACCCTGTCCACCCGCTCCGGTTAGGAACGGGGATTCCTGGCTAAATCGGGGATAGGAACGCAGATCCTGTTTGTCTCAAACCGGGGATGGGGATGGGGACGTGTATTGTACTCCCGCCCCATCTAGTACCCTTCATATTTTTTTAATTAATAAATTATATATATATATATATATATATATATATATATATATATTACTTAACAATAATTCATAATTTCCTATTTCCTAACTACGTTTATAATCTTAAATTGTTATTTTTTGGATGTTAATATGTGTTGGAACAAAGGTGAAGATACAATAAATACGTGTATATTTATTTATTGACTTCTGTGCAAGATTACAACACACAACAGTAGGATACATATGACATATATATACAAGGCAGTGAACAATGGTTCACAAACAGATGTGATGGTTGGAGATGGTGGTTAATAAATTGACTATTTGAGGAGGTAACCAACTGCTAGAAGTCCACGTTTAACTTACTTCAAACAATATTTAATATTTTGAATCTCAAGTCAAAATATAGTTACTCGATATAGTTTTATATTACTCAATATCTTTTGGTATATGTGGTTTTAGGTTTTTTTGGATTAAATTGAATTTTTTTATGATTTTAAGGTTATTAATTCTTATATGATGTTGTGGTTTTTTTGTATTAAATTAAATTCATTTGACATTTAAACATGTATGGTCTCTCACATATTTAATTTAAAATAACTTACATAAACAGAAAAAAGAAATCCCCACCCTAACGGAGATGGAGACAGGGACGGAGTTAGAGATAAGTAATCGGGAACAGGAACAAGGATTGAGGTTCCCGCCCCATTCCCATGCCTACTAATAGATGGATTATATATTGAAATTGAAGTGGAGCTTTGCGTCAATGGAATCATGTATAATAATTTTAAAAAAATTAAACATTTTCGAGATTCCACAATAAGATTTGAATCTAAGGGGACGTTTACTAAACACTTACTTGTTAAGTACTTATTGGATAAATTTCATTGGATAAACATGAGAAGGGTCAAGAATCTTACTGGGTAAGAGCGATGAGAACGATGGAAAGTCTTACTCGGTAAGTGAAGATGACGACTCTTACCCAGGTAAGCGCTTACCCACTAAATTGTTGCATTCGATATGTTTTAATATACTAAAATCTTACGCATCAAAATAAATCATAGTGTTGACTCGTATCAGTAAGCGCTTACCGGGTAAGCAATTGGGTAAACGGCCCCTAACTCCAACATTTACGGAGTTAATTGAGCCGCTATAGTATTAGTGGTGCTATCACAGTTGGCACATATAGCATTGCTAAATAAGTAATAACCCCTAACAGGGTCGCCATTTGGTGGTGCTAATACTAACAACCCAAGTTTATTTCGAATCTAAAGGGCCATTTTATCACATACTAAACCGATAAATACTTACCAAGCGAAACAAATGGTTCTTAAATTGAAATGATTTCAATATAAAGGAAGCACATCCATCACAATTGAATTCTAAAAAAGAGTAGTTGGTGACTTTAGGTTTCTTGGATTCATGTCCATAACAACTACTACTTCCATTTACACCTGCTGCTCATTCTAACATTCTTTCATACCAACCAACATAGAGACACAAAAACAAATGAAACCTACAAAACCCAATAACCTTTCACATTTCACAGTTGGATCCGATCCCATCCCATCCCATCCCATCCGCCGCATATTATATCGACACCAACACGTTCTTCTTACAAAGTAAGCTCTGCAACACGACCAGTTCCGTCAGTAACTAGTAATAATACGCCAACACTTTCTTACTTATATCAAATTTAAACCAATATGCTTACTGATTTTATTTGGTCGATTAGCAGACACATATGCATAAAGAATTGCCAGTATAATGAAAACCAAAGCAATCTGCAACAAAACATCATGTAAAATCGTTAATCGACTGTTCAGAATCATAAGGGTAATTTGGGCAAGAATAAGAAAAGGAAATCCTCACCAGAGCAGGACTGTAGCTTGGCTCGCTCTTAAGTATATACGATCTCCTGATGAATATACAATACCCAGTTGGGGATCAGAATGTTAGATTACATACTTGGCCAAGAAAGTTGATGTAATGAGAATTGAAAATACCTGTTGGTAAGGGTGCCAGAATCCCTGCAAATTTTCTGAGCTGCTTCTATCCTGCTGATTGTTGTTTTGGCATTCGGATCATGCATCTCAACCTGTAACACCCTATCGTTATTAAATCCACGAAAATGAAAAGCTTCACACTGCACAAACCTCTTGCGTTGTTAATACCTTGGATTTGAGCATCGAAGAAAATTCATAAAAAGCACCGTACACATCTACCATTGTCTTGGTTCTATCAATTACTTTTGCAGTAAGGCCTAGAGAAGAAGACGGAAGTCAGAAGAATAATAATTCAAAACATTCAGCGATGACAAAATATGAGAATCTTGTGCACCAAAACTAATATTAGGTGCTTAAAAGACAGGAAAGACCAGAAGAGCAAGTTTATGGGCTCTTCATTTAAGAATATCGCTATGAAGATTCTTTTCAGACAAGAAGTCCAAAAATCAAAAACAAGTAACATGTTGATATTTGGAGCAAGACAGAAAGCTTACCACGTCTCATTTTGACTACACCCCTGAAAACTTCAATGTTGTTGTAACATAAAGCTAGTGTTCCAATTGCCATGATCTGATGAAATATAAGCCCAAGTTAGCATGGTTTATTACACAAGCTTTTGAATACAAAATAATGATATAAAGTAAGAGTGGAGGAAGAAAGAGTTTCAAGTTTCTAGTAGCATGTGTTGTAATCATTTCAGGATAATTTGATGCTCAAGTAAAAGTTAAAACATCCAAACACAAGTGCATGTTTTGACCAAAAAGATTTTCTACTTCATACATAGTCCTTTTTAATGAGGTAATGATGTTTTTGTAGTTATGGGTATAATAAATTAGGTAAGATGAGAACCCAACTCCTCATCTTGTTAATCTGGTATGGACCAGAAGAAATTGAACTAGAAAGCAACCATATTATTGAACAGCCAATACATGCTTATTTGAAGTTCAAACCGATAAATATATTCTCTTAACTAGTATATTAGATGTAAGTGGTTCAAAAGGCTACGCCAGATTAAGGTCGTCCCATTGTAAAATGGAAATATATCAAGAAGGCGTATCAAATGTTAATCTATGAAGCATACCTGGGGTATAGCACAGAACTTGAAGATAGCTGGATCACGCAAGTCAGACATATATTTTAAACAATCTTCAATGTGTATTAAAGCATTCGTCACCATATCATTTAAGCACTGAACAGCCTTCTTGGAGTTTTCTTCGTACTTCAGGTCCTGAGGTGCATATCATTAAAGTTATCAATTAGAAGGATGTTCCTAACATCAATGCTTATTAAATCATGAGTTCACCCTTGGTTATAAATCATAACAAGATTAAGTAGAAAGGATTTAAAACTGCATTGGAAGACCGGTACCTCTAGTTTATTCACATATTTACTCCAGATCTCACGAGGCCAAAACATGCGTGACTTGGGTATCTCATTTATATCCTCGAGATAATCTCTAATGATGTTTGTTTTCTGCAACATATGACCAGTAATACAATGCTGAGTCAGATTTACAAATATTTGAGAAAAACATTAAGGCTTAAAATGCTGATCCATCCAATGTCCAAAATTTACCTGGAGAAATAAACCCATTGAATTTGAGAGAGGATCCGGAAACAAAATTTCTGTGCCTGAGGCATAGAAGAGCTTTGACAGTCCTAATCCAACAAGCCCCGCAACATAATGACAATACTCGTCATAATCATCAATTGTCTCAACCTGCAAGGTGAAACAGACTCATTTTCCTTTCTCACGAAGAGACCGACACAGTCGTCTTCAAATTTACTCAACCAAAACTAGAGTACAAAAATTGGCTGAAACATTTTAAACCTTAGGGACAGACATGTGCTATACTATCATTTAATATAATGAAAGCTTGGAATGTAAAGGGGGCAAACTACAAGCCATGCTAGATATGGCTACTGAGAAATACGTAGAACGTTTCTAACAAAATGAAATTCCTAAAGATGACCATGTGCATGCCCATGTGCACTCATGGAGCAGAGTCTCCACTTAACCTCCTGGTTAGCAAGTAAAGGACAGAAATCAAGTGATATATGAAAAGAAGGCTTAATTGTTTTCTGATAATATACACACAACCTACTAAAAAAAGAACCACATTTAGAGCCTCACATGCATTGACATGCCAGATATGGACAATGACAGTTATAATGGTACTTTGAACAATGATAACAAGTACCTCTTTACATATAAATTTTGCCATCCCTGCACCCATTCTCATTGTTATATCCTCAATTGCTTCCTGATAACTGCACAATAATTGGAGCATTGTAGATCAACTTTTTGTAAAGGATGCACGAGCACAGACAAAATTCCTATCATGAATGCATTTGAACACTTAAAATGTCTACACATGTTCACGAGTAGAAATTCATATTAGTTGAACACAGATTATTACAACTTTTTGTTAGTATGCACCAAAGACAAAATGTAGCTTCCAAGCATTACTAAACCCTGCAGAAACATTCTAACAGTTGTTCAGCATCTATTTGCTCAAACATTTAAGCAACACAAGTTGGATTCATGGCAAAAACAAACTGATCTTCAGGTTGTCAGAAGCATTGATGGATAATAAGATGTATAAGTGGCTAACATGTGTCACTGGTGAAGAATACGAACGGGATTTATGATGTGATCGACGATTAGACCCAAGATTATTGTTAATATTTCAATTGTCCTGCAAGTTAACCTTACAAATTGTTAATCCTTGTGGGATATGCGAAAACTCAATGAAGGTAACCACGAAACTTAAGGAGCATATCCAACAGAAGTCATGGATGCACACTTGGTTTTTCTTGCTTGTTAGTTGTTACTTGTTAAATGCATAATGACCTCCAAAATCACAACATAAGTAAATAGATTTCATGAATAATGGAATAACAGCGTGAGCAAACATTAGAGGAAGACCAAATATGATGTGTAAAGGCATACAATCTGAAATTGTGAGATCCATTTGAAATAAATAGTTTGCATATTTATGCTATATCCCAATGAATATTTCCATTGTGCATCAGAGTATAATTTCAAATTCTATCAATATCTAAGGAAAAACCTTCTGTATCATATGCAAATTTGTAACACAAATTGGAAATACCATATCAATTGTTCAAATGGGTACTTTTATTTCATGATCCACCAGTTTTATTAAATGACAAAATAAACCAAAATTAATAGTTTGTATGCCAAAGTTACCTTTTACTAAGCTCCAGAAAGGCAGTAGAAACGTGATGGAACTGGTCCATTAGAACTTTGTATTCCTTTGTACCACCTTCATGAAAGAAAAAAAGCTAGCATTAGCATTAACATACTATCATATGTCACACATAAGATTAAAATGGTTCATAGACAGGCAATAACCCTAACACTCACATGCGAAGTGCCAATCACGATCGTAGATATGCTGATGAAAGGCGACCAGTATGGGTACTTTGATATCAGCAGCTATACTTGTATCATCCTCTGGCAAAAAGGAAAAAATAAAATATTAGTAAATCATGAAAATATATGATTGGTGTATGGATCGTCAATAGAAAAGGAATGATAATACAAAAGAAACAACCACAACATACTAAGAGGCCCAAGAATGACACATCAGCCAAGCAATTTATAGCAATGAAGAAAAATAATAAAACTAGCTTAGAGGTATTAAGACGTACCGACGGTGTCAAGGGCACGAAGAACCAAATAAAAAATGCACACCTGCATTGTAGAGAATGTCAACATTAAAATTAAGAGCAATATGCAGTAAAACACAAAAAAGAGGCTTTGTATGTTTACCTGAAGAGCATGCAAATTTATAAGCCGCATACAATTGCATCAACAAATATTATCAACATGTATGTGGTATTTAAAGAAATTAAACTCAGTAAGCAGATCTTTTCCACCACTTGGCACCAGATGGTTCAAACTGAACTTTCTTTTCTTCATAATTGACAAGTGTAAAGCATAGAATGTGACAACACTCACCAATGTAATTTTGTGCTTCTCACTCATTGTTCTAATATAGATGTTATTGTGACTACAGAGCAAGTTGTTGACATGTTTCATGTCACAAACAATATTACTGCATTTATAGAATGTGTTAGCCATTAGTTCTATATTCATATCGACAGTTACTTAGCGCAGTTGTTTAAAAAGTTGAATCTATTAATGTAATCTCACTCTAGAGTAAAAACAACCCTGCTCCGAGAAAAACCCCTTTATGGTGCCTATGAAATAAGGTATCTCAAATACAAGTGGTGAAACTAGTAAATCCCAGATTTAATACAAGTATCACTCAAAAGTCATGTTACAGAACTTCAGATGCATACACTGCTCCTCAACAGACACAAAGTACATGCTTCTCTTGTTATTAGAAGTCCGTTTCAGGATTGGTAATAAGTCCGATGTTTAATACAATTCTTGTAATTTTTTACCTCTTACCTGCAATCAAGTAACCAAGGTTATGTACATATGAGTTTGATCACTTCCTATGACCTCTTGGAACCAACTAAAAATGCTAATTAACAACAATTTACACATTAAAGAACAAATACAGGCATCTGGGTTCACTCTCTCATTTGCATGTGTGAGCAGAAATTCACAGAACCAAGATTTCCTTGAGCTTTGCAGATTGTCAACTAATT